GGAGAACAGGGATGAGATGCAGGGATGGAGCCCCATGATACACCCCCCGAGCACACCTGAGAGCAAACGGGGCAAAAACTCCCCAGGGAGCAGCAAACCCCGACCTGGGAGCACAAATGAGCCAAGAACAACAAAATACCAGAGCATCGGTGACCCTGCAGCAGGGCGGCAGCACCGGGCCCTGCGGGATGGGGGCAAGGGCTGGACCCCCACCCCAACCTGCCTGGGCCTGGCCAGGGACGTCCCTGGGTGGGGAAGAGGGGACAGTTACAGATTGGGCTGGGGGACACCAGCAGCAGCTACCCCGTGTTCCCCATCCTCCAGGGACTGGCTTTCAGAATCGCAAGCCTTTGCCACCGGTGTTTTGGGAATCCTGCCCGAAAATGGGCCAGGSTGCACTGGGGGCGGGGGAACTGCTGAACTCCGACTCCCGAAGGACATCTTCCTGCAGCCACTGTCACTCTGGCAGCAATTTTGGGTTTAAGCCCTTAAGCTGCAAACCTGCGCTGGGAACCACAAGGACCCAACACCTCAGGAGGGTTCTTCCCCCATCTCCTCAGTGCCCAAGCCCGTGGTTTTCCTGTGGGGGCTGCCAGCCGCGGGGGAGGGGAGGACTGCTGTTAAAGACACCCAAAAAAGCAACAGAAACRACACTGAGCCCTGGTCTAAGTGGGAAAAAAACCTCACTTCCTCAGTGCTGCAAAGCATAACATCAATGAGGACAAATGGGTCCCTTGGCAGCAGGGGCTGTGGAGCAGACAGCCCAGGGACAGMCCCAGCTTCCCTGGAACCCCTTTCCTTGCTTTTGGGAGTCCATCTGGGTGCCAGGATTTGGCTCCCTGGGCTCGATCTGCCTGGGATGGGTGGTGGGGCTGTGGGTGGCTCCTGCCCTTGGCCCCGTGGGAATTGGGGCAAATGACGCTGGCGGGCACCCCCACCCGCTCCTGAGCCCCCCAGGAAAGGTGCCAGCCCCATCTCCAACACCAACCCCACCCTGGGGCACACCCTGGGGACACCCACTCCCTTTCTCAGCATCTTCCCTCAGCGCTTCGTCCCGAATTGGAAAAAAACGGCGTTACCTGCTGGGCCCAACTCGGCTTTTCCAGGAGTATTTAACTTTGCTGGTCCCTCCCGGGAACCAAACAAGCGGCTCAACCTCACCAATCTCGCAGCTTTGGCCGCCAAAGTTGCCTCTAGTCTTCTTATTTGTCACAGAACCGCTGTGCTAAGGCTCGGGAGAATCTTTATTTAGTGTTGCAGATGTCACCAAGGCACCGCAGATTGGAAATGAGTCCAAAGGATTAAGACGAGGTTATTAATTGGAGGCCTTCCCCTTTAAGAATGATTGACAGTTACTTTCTGGACAAGTAATTGCTCTAAATGTCCCCCCAGCACGGGTCCGGGGGGGCAGCGGCGGACAAAGCCCCGAACTGCCTTCCCCACTCGGATTGTCTCCCCACAAAGGCGTCCTGCTGGAGTTTGCCGTGTAATCCCCTCATTACGGGCGAGGAGAAAGAATTAGAAACAGGGGGAGCGGAGAAGAAAGGATGGAGGGGGAGGGGGCAGGATTTCCTTGGGCTGCGGAGGCTCTGCCCCAGGGATGGGGTCCGGGCCAGGCGCCCCAAGCCCCGCTGGGATGGGGATGCTGCAGTGGTGGGTGTTGTCCCCCTGGGGGGGGATGCCGAGCCTGGGGGTGGCCCTGTGACAGCGTGGGTGGCCCCATGGCTCCCGGTGACGCTGCTGCAGAGCCCTGCCCGTTTGGGGAGCAGAGATGGGGACAGGTGTGGGGACAGGGGTGGGGACCAGGCACAGGGTCCGGCTGTGAGGACCCAGAGTGAGGACAGGGTCTGGGGTCTTGCTCTGTGGGCTCAGGTGTGAGGATCAGGTGTAGGGACCAGCCCCAGAGAGCAGATCCCCTGAACAGCCTTGGGGACCTGGGATGAACACCGGGCAGGGGGAGCATTCATGGGAACCAGAGCGGGGGACAGGCAGGAGAGCGAGTGTGGGGAGCAGCCGTGGGACCAGGACATGGATGTGGGACTGAGCAGCGGGGCCAGGCATGGGAACACCCCGTGGGGACAGCTGTGGGATCCGGTCAGGGGGACAATCCCTGGGGGCTGCCCRTGGGCCTGGCCAGGGGGGCGTGGGACAAGGGCAGCGGGGCTGAGGGGCAGGACCACCATCCCTCTCCTCCCCGCTCCCACTGCTGCCCTGGGCCCCTGCAAATAACGGGAACATCGTGGTGGGGGTCCGGGGCTGTGCTGGGGGATGCTGCCCAGAGTCTGCATCATGTGGGGTGCATTTTGCTCTTTTCTTTCTTTGCTCACTTTTACTTTCTCCCAAAACCATCTTCCTGCCACCTGCGGCTGCTGCTGCCCCCAGACATGTCTGGGCTTCCTCCCACTCCCTTCCCTTCCTCGCCACGGTTCCCCTTTCAGGTGGCAAATGTCACTGCGGGGGTTGTGGAGCCCAGCACSCTGTGCAAGGTGGCTGCTGGCCCCGAGTGGGTCTGTGCCCTCCCCACCATCAGTGAGACCCCACAGCCCCCAGTGTGCCCTGGAGTGGGCCCCAAGGCCATCCCACTGTCCCCTASAGGGGCCATGAGTTTCACCTGCCCTGTCTGACACCTCTTTGGGGTGTTGTCTTGGGGGTGGCACTCACTGCCCTGGGGACAGTATGCCACCACCGCAGGGACAGGCTGGCACTGTCCCAAGGACAGCAAGGCCACACACCGGGGATGGCAGGACATGCAGCCCTTGAGGATGGGGTGACACCCCCATCCAGGTGATGCTGCAAGGGAGTGCTGGGGGAGCAGGGAGGTGTTGCCAGCGGGGCAGGGCCATGTGTGGGGTCAGGGATGCAAACGGGTATCTGCACCCTGCTCACCCAGGTGTCCGTGCTGGCCACTGTGACCAGTGCCATGTACCCCACACCAGTGGCCCTGGGCAGCTTTCCCCAGGGTTCCCCACTGTCCCGGGGTGCAGGGAGGTCCCCTGGGTGCCGGTTTGGGGGCGGGGGACAGCCCAGCTGCCCGGCCCCGGCGCTGTGTGCGCTGTGTGCGCTGTGCCGGCCCCGCGGCTGCCGCAAGGTGTTGGCTCGCCCGGGGGGAGGCAGCAGGCTGATTTGCCAAATGATTATAATTGCCTTTTAGGAGCAGATAGCAAATTGATTTGCTTCCTTGTCCAAGGCCCATAATCGCTTCATCACTTTAAAATATTAATGCTATACTTCTTTGCTAGTTTCCCAATTACCCTAATTGAAGGCAAATTGGTTAAGAAGGTGCAATGCAGAGTATCAGGGGGTTTAGTTCACTCAAATGACAGTTTTAAACCTCCCTAATCCTATTAGCGCGCAAAGCTGCTAACGCTTAGAGACGCTGCGTCAGCTTACCGGGGCGGTGGGGCCGGAGGCGGGGGTCGGGCCGGGGGGCGGCCGGGGGCCACCGGCCTCACGTGACCAGCTCGGCCGGGGATTTATCACTTTTTTAGTTCATTAAGAGGCCTTGGGCAGGCGGGGAGGCAGCAGGGGTGACCCAAAAGGGTGCTGAGCGGGAGGCAGGTGGCAGCGTGGGGAGAGCGGGGGGGCAGGACGATTAGCCAAGGAGACCTGGCGGAGGGTCCTGACCCGAATCCCAGCTGGCGCTGGGAGTCCCCATGCAGCCCCACTGGGAACACTGGGAGAGGGCTGCCCATTAGGGCAGGATGGGGCCCTGATGTGGAGCAGGGATGGGAGGCTGAGGTAGTGRTGACAGAGTGCATTGGGGACCTCGGTGCCACCGTCCCAGCAGCTGGCACTTGGTGGTGAGCCCAGCCCCGAGGAAAGCAGCGGTGTGGGGTGGGAACAGGGCTGTGCTGGGTGCCACAGCYGCTCCCGTCCTGTCAGGGACTGCTGAGGCACACACGGTGCCATCCTACAGCAGGGGTCTGTGCCCGAAGGGAGGTTTTCCACATTCTGAAGAAAGGCTGGTGAGCAGGGATGGGAGCGATGGCAGGGACAGCAGGGACGATGGGGACAGCAGGGACAGCGGGCCACCAAACATCAGGAGGTGTTTGGTGTCAGGCCCTGCCGAGCCTGTTCACCCTCCCTGCTGCTCCACCAGCCCCTGGACTGGTACCCGGAGGGGCTCCAGGGAGGACTGGGCACCTCCTTGCATCGGGCTGAGCCCGATGGCGCTGGTGACCGCGCTGAGCTCGGTGACACCGCTCCAGCCCACCTGCGCTGGCTCCGGCCGCCCCTCCCAGCCCGGCCTTGGGCAGCCCGGACAGCGCCGTCCCCGCAGCCTTTCCGGAGCAGATGGCAGCGGCGTGGGGMGGACGGAGGCGGCTCAGCGCGTCCTTCCTTTCATGCACACACAGCGTGATTCCCGGCGGCTCCGGCTCCGGCTCCGGCAGGAGGTGTCGCTGGGGCAGCGCTGGCCGTACATTTTACACGGGTTCAGCGAGCTTAGTCCTCGGGGACAGGCGATTCAGGAAGATTAGACCTCGCTAAAATAGGCAGGTATTAGTGATCTCAGCAGCCCCCGGCCTTCCGGCGCGGCGACATTTAAGCCAGCGCCGCTGCCGAGCGCAGGAGGGTCCGCGGAGGGGCAAGAGGCACACCCGGCCCGGCCAAAGGGATGGCTCTGCTGCTTGCACTGGCGGGCGATGCTCGAGCAGGGGTGTAAATGCTCCACACCCCGTCCCAGTGCCGTCCCCAAAGCATGCCCAGGGTGATCACTGGGTCCCACTGACTCCCGTGGGAGCTGCTGCAGAAGCGGGGGACAGACCCAGTGTCCGAGCATCCTTGGCTGGTTGGTGGCTCAGGGGACACGGGGCAGCCCAGCTGCGGTTCTGTCATCATGTCCCATCATCACCCAGTACAGGATATGGCAGGACGGCAAGAATGGTGCCGGCAAATGCTGTATTTATTGAGCCAAATGGTGCATGGCCCCGGGGCTGGTGCGGGGGGTAACAGCGTCAGGAACCTGCCCCATACGGGGGCTCACGCCAGGAGACCACGAGAGGGACTTGACCATAACGGGTGGAGGCTACCCAGACATCCTGCACCCCWGCACACCCTGGGAAAGCAACTGGGAATGGTTTTGGGGAAGAAAACCCACACCCAGCTGGTGTATTGGGGCCCCCACCCCAAGTAAGGGCGCCCAGAGGCTCCGCACGCCGCGGTTCGCGGGGACAGGCGCTCCGGTATCCGGTAGCTGAAGTGCTACATCAGGGCGCACTTGTCCTTCACCTGGCCCACGCCGCCCAAGGCGCGGTCCCGCAGYGCCGGCAGCTCTATTTCGCGCAGCTTCCCCAGGAAGGCGAGGGCCCCGGCGCTGCCATCCTCCTCCTCCTCCTCCTCGCTGTGCACCATGGCTGCCAGCTCTTGCGGCAGCTCCACCGCACCTCCCGCCACATGCACCTGGGCACCGTCCCGCTCGTCCTGCACGCCGGTGGGACAGGGTGTCGGGCAGGGACAGACATGGTGCCTGCCAARGTGGAGCAGGGGACAGGGGACAGCCAGTGCCAGGGGGCTGGGGACACTGCGGGATTCCGGGACTGTCCGGTGCCAGACTCATGCTGGATCAACAGTGGGTGGCAGATGGTCAGACGGAGACTGTGGCCGTCTGCTGCCCTCTTCAGGAATCCCTCCCATCCAGGGGAGCGCGGCAGCCGTGGGGCTGGGGCTGTCCCGGGTGATGKAGGATCAAGGGGAGCCCCCCAGGTGCCCACAGGCCGATTCTTACCTGGGTCAGGTGGTACTTGTCCCGCAGGTGCATCCGCACCGTGGCCCGCTCTGCCTTCCTCTGGGCAAACGCCTTGTCCCGCTCGATCCTGCAGCAGGTGCCACATCATCACCCCCACCTCAGCGAGCCCCCAGGACCACCCTGACATCACCCTGCTCCCCCTGCAGAGCAGGTCCAGAGCAGGAGCTACGAGAAGGTCAGAGACCCACGAGAGGATTTCAATGGGGACGTGGGAGCAGGAGCCACATCCTGCCCACACAGCCCCAGCACCCAGAGCCAGAGGTGCCTGATGGAGGTGCCCATTGCTGGAACTCTTTCCTCCTGCAGTCTCTCACCTCCCTGATGTGAGCCGCTGGGTCCCCACAGCACCTGGTCCCGGGGAGGTGGGACCTTACTCCAATCTTGGGCTGACCCCCATCCCTTGGCTGCAAGGGTGCTGGGCTGGAACCACCCTGGGGTCTGTCACCTGGGGGTTCCCCTTGTCACCTCTGGCGTACTAAGGCACTGTCACAGCCCTTTGCCGGCACCTCTGTGGACCCCCTGTGCTGTGAGGGAGAGACACCGAAAGGCACCTGCTCTGCTCTGCACTGTCCCTTGCCCCAGCTGCCTCCCTGTCCCTGTCCTGTGCCACCTTGGGGACAGCCCAGGACAGCAGGTGGGATGCTGATCCTGGTGTGTTGGGGACCCCAGGGACCCCCCCCAGCCCCGCTGAAGCCTTACTTCTCTTCCAGCAGCTCCCGCTGGTACTCCTCAAACTCCTCACGGGCCATGCCGTTGGGCAGSGTGCCCACCTTGTCATCCTTGGGGGCCCCCTTGGGTGACTCGTCCTTGCCCCCCTGGAAGCTCTTCAGGGTGGCCATGAAGAAGGAGGCCATGGTGAATAGCGGTGGCAGCTCGTGCCCCAAGGTGCCCACCGGGTCCCAGTGCCTGCAAGGTCAGCGGGACCAGCCCCAGGGGCACCGCGGATCAGGCGCGGATTAAGGCATTAGGAGGGGAAGCCACAGCCGGGATGGAAAGACCTTCCCTTCACTGCACCCAAGGGTGCTTGCAGGGGACARTGGCAGTGCAGGGGGACAGCAGATGCTGCCACATCRGGGAGATGGGGAGGTGGAAGGAGACATCCAACTGCAGCACACGCGGGGTCAGGCTGAAATACCCCCATTACGTGGGTACCAATTTGGAGCAGCACCCATCGGGCCAGGGCYRAGCCCTGGGGAGAGCCCAGAACCAYGCACACAGGGGGGYTGGAGGTGCAGGAAGTCAGCACAGAGGAGACACAAGAGGATTAGCCCAAGAAACCCAGTCGAGGGTCAAAGGCCTGGCAGCAGACGAGGTGGTGGTGGGTGCACACCCACCCCTGCAGGCGGCTCCGTGCCCCCGCTAATCCCTGCTCCACCCAGACTGAGATTGCTCGGAGCCTGCGGGGCTGGGGGCTCCCCACTGCTGGGGACGTGCTCKGTGCCCGTAATCTATACACAAGCAATTCCCATACAGAGTCTGATTAAAAGCATAATCCCCTGCTGCGCAGAGCACTGACGGGAGAGGGGCTGTATGGCATGGGGGGCTCCAACAGACAGAGCTCCTGCCCCCCCAGAACCTTTCACTGGAGTCTGTCAGGCCCCGAATGAGGGATAGGCCTAATTTCACCCCAGAGGCTTAAAGATGCTGTTGAACTAATTTCTTTGGTTTAATAAAAAAGCCCAAATCCGTGTGGTTTATCTGGCTGTGCCGGCATCCCCGTGCTGGGCACTGGAGTGGGGCTGGGWCAGRGTGGGGTCTCATCCTCCACTGAGTGGACATTTCCAGTCCTGTGTSCCATCACTGGGAGTCACAGCTTGAAGGGACCCCACACACAGCACCCGCTCCTGGGGCTGAGCTCAGGGGGTGTGGGCAGGGCTCCCTTGGGGTCTGCGCTCCCCACTCTGGTGTGTCAGGGGACACAGATCCCATGAGAACCTGCTCTGGGCTGCGTGCTGGGTAGAAGGGCCATGCCGGGATAGAGGGAGGCTGCTGCCCCATCTACACAGGGAGAGAGCAGCACCACTGGCCATCCTGTTCCTGGCCCCCATGGCCTTGCCACTGCCAGCCCTGGAGGATCCAGGGGCTTCAGGTCTTGGGTCCTGGTAGCAGGATTGGGGTTAAATGTCTCTCAGGTGCTTCAGCTCCTTCTGCAGCTTCTCTGTGAGTTTCTTGAAGGACGGTCGCTTGCCTGGCTCCAGTTCCCAGCAGCTCTTCATCAGGGCATAGACAGGGGGTGGGCAGCCCTCAGGGGGGTCCATGCGGTAGCCCTGCTCCAGCAGCTCCGTCACCTCCTTCAGGGCCTGCCAGGATGGAGAAACCAGCTGGGAACCCCCTTCCCTCCTCTGGGCAGGGAGCAGTGGGATGTCCCTGTCCCAGGAGTGCCAATGGGGTGTGACTGGTGGTGTTCCCCAGCACAGTGCTCACCAGCTTGGGGTAGGGTGCCCGTCCAAAGGAAAAGGTTTCCCACAGGAGGATCCCGTAGCTCCACACGTCCGACTTGGAGGAGAATTTCTGTGGTGGCAGGAGAGGGGGAGGCTGAAACCAGCCAAGGGCTGAGCTGGGTGCCCGTTGCTTCCCAAGGGCGTACAGAGGGCCGTGACTGCTCTCTGCTCCCCTCAGCTCCCCAGGCGGTGAACACCCACCAATCCCATCATCCTGCCCCAATTCCCACTGCACACCTGCTCAGGACAGAGACAGAATTGGGAGATGCAGAACTGACTGTGCCTGAAGCCACTGTGGGGCAGGATTGGGTCAGTGGCTGTGGGAACAAGCAGGAGCAACCCAAGGGGGTGAGCTGCTTTGGAAGAACCCCCTCCCCCCTTCCTTCCCACTGTCACTCACGTTGTGTTTCAGAGCCTCTGGTGCTGTCCACTTCACGGGGAGCAATGTGGCATCTGCACCCTTGGGGTTGACCCGGGCCAAGCCGAAGTCACTGACTTTGGCCACGTTCTCCTCGGAGATGAGGATGTTGCGGGCAGCCAGGTCCCGGTGCACCAACTTCTTGGACTCCAGGTAGTCCATGCCCTGAGCCACATCCCTGCCACAGCGGAGTGAGACAGAGCTGTGTCACTGCGCATCCCTGGGGCTGCACAGGGCATGCAGAGCCCTGGATCCCAGCCCAGAGGATGGAGATGGACTTACAGGGCAAACAGGAGGAGCTGCTGGGTCGGGACGAGCGCSCGGCCCCGCGTGCGCAGGAAGTTCACCAGGTTGCCCTGACAGGAGAATAAAACGGGTCAGGACCAACAGGACAGGGCTGCCGGGAGACTTTGCCTTCTGCAGGTGCTCCAGTGCCCAGCATCTGTACAACTCAGCCCCCAGACAGGGATTTTGTCCCCAAATCTAAGTGGTGATGGGTCCCACTGRCTGAGGAACAGCCAGGTGCTCTCACCTTGCTCATGAACTCCATGACAATGTAGAGGCCATTGTGCAGGATCACCCCCAGCAAGCATACGAGGTTTTTGTGCCGGACCTTCCTGGAATGGAGGGGTTCAAATCAAGGAGGTGCCTGCTCATCCCAGGCCATGGGCAGGGCTGGGCCACACCTCCAGGGGCACTCACGTCATGGCAGCCGTTTCAGAGAGGAAGGCCTGGGCAGTCACGTCRCACTTGATGTTCTTCACAGCCACCCTCTGCCCCATGTACTCACCCTGCAGAACATCTGGGAGAACACGGGAGAGTCAGGCTGAGCTCCTGCACTCCAGGCTAAGCCCCCATGCCATGAGATGGGGACGGGGATCAGGGAGTGCCATCTGGGGAAGCTGCAGCTGGGGATCCTCCAGCCCCATCCTCTCACCTCCAAACTCGCCTTGCCCAATGCGGTCTCCCAGTGTGAGGTGCTTCAGGTTCAGCAACCAGCCAGCTGGGCATGGGCACAAGGGCAGGTTAGCAGGGGCAAACAGCAGGGCCTTGTCCCTAAAATGCAGACCACAGCCCCCTGCCACCATCCCTTACCTTTGGCCAACTCCTCCTCTGCCGACTTCATCCCAGATTTTGGTTTGGGCTTCACCAGCTTGGTGCAGATGGCTCCCTGCTCCTTCATGTAATGCTGACAAGGGATGAAGAGAAGGAGGTGATGCCAGCTCTTACCCTCAGGCTCAGAGTGTGCATCCAGGGAACACCTCTGGGGTGCTCCACAGGACCCCACCATCACCACCCTCGAGGGCAGCCCATTTGTCAGCCTTGCTCCTTGCCAGGCACAGCCAGAGGAACTCCACGTTGGACCACAGGGAGTATGGGATGCTACTGGTGGGGTTGAACCCCCAGCAGGTTCTGTAGCAGCTGGACAGGATGGGACAGGATGGGATGGGACAGGACAACCTTCAGAGTTTTAAAGTGGGGCTAGGGCAGCTGAGAAGGGAAAGGAGCAACCCAAAAGTAGAAGTTGTGTCTAAAAGTAAAACATGATAGTGAAACTCCCTGGAGAGAAGACAGGGTGAGCATGGATCACCAGGAAAAGCTTRCTGGTAGGGTGAGAGCTCACACAACAGCCCGGGAGCTCTGTGGGGTCAGCCCAGGAGAAAGGGCTTTAAGTGGAGAGAAAACAGCAAAATGCCTCAGAGTCCAGGGGGGCAGAGGCCACCAGGTTCTCCTGGCTTTGAGAAGCTCTGAATAAGCAGGGACAGGGGGAATGTGGCCCTTGGCTGAGGATGGGACTGCAGCTGGCACAGCTGGTTTGCAGAGACATCCCTGGGACATCCCAGATCTGCCCATTGCACCCAAACCTCACTGGGAACCACGAGCCTTAGACAGGGATGGAGAATTACATCAGTAACAAACAGCAGTGAAAACCACACAGAACAAGACAAGGACCTGCCAGTGCTCTGCTGAACCCATCAGGTCCTCACCCTTCTGACAGCGTGGGACTGCCTGGGGTGTCTTACCTCGATCATGTCGATGAGGTTGGAGAAGTACTGCTGGCTGTCAATGCTGAGCGTGTTCTCCTCGTGCACCACGCGGTAGTGGATCACCTCTTTGGCGAAGCTCACRCACAGCACATAGTCCCCGGGGTGCCGCACGGACTCCCGCACCAGGAACAGCCCGTCCTCGGGGGGCTGCAGCTCCTGCACCGCCTCCACCCCGGAGATCTTCCCGTGGAACCAGCTGAGGAAAGGGGCATCGGAGAGGGGGCTGTGCCAGGGCGCTCCCCCCAGGGCAGCAGAGGGGTGGGGAGAGCAGAGCTGTACTCACGGCATCAGGCTGAGTTTGGGGTCSACGCGGATGGCCCCGCGCTCCCGCAGCGTGCTGGCTGCCAGCAGCCCCTCCTGCCCCGTCTCGTTGTGCCTGGCGCGGTACCAGCCTTTGCCCTGCGGACAAGAGGGTGTCAGAGCAACGGGAGGAAGAGGGAATCCCTCTGGGAAAGGAGGGACTGGCTCTGACAGCCCAAGCTGATGACGCTGCAGTCCCGSTCCTGCCGTGCCCTCTGGAAGCAGCGCGTCCCCGAGCACCCACAGGTCTCACCTCCACGGCCTCGATGATGGTGACCATGTCACCCTTGCGGAAGGCCAGCTCCCGGGGCTTGGGCTTGGTGTGGTCATGCTTGGTGACACACTGCGTCCCGGGTGGCCAGTGCTTCTGCAAGGATGAGGCAGTGTCAGTAGGGACAGTGAGAGCTGGACCCCTCTGCCTCCCACAGGCACCAGGGCCAGCCCCAAGGATCATCTGAAACCCTGGCTTGGGATCAGGGGCACTGGGCATGAGCCCTCTTGCACCCCACTTTGGTGCTGGGGGCACATGTCACCCTGGTGTCAGCTGGAATTGCTGGTGTCCCTGGGCAGCCCCGCTCACCCCAGACATGGCCAACCGTCAGCGCATCAGGGACTCCCTGTCCTCTCCTGCTGCCACCTGCAGAAGAAACCAAAGGGGTGTGGAGGGACAGGGCTGAGCTGGCTTGTCCCAGGCCATGGCTGCTGTCCCACAGGCTGCCCAGGCCAGCACAGCTCCTGTCCCTCATGCAGCCCTGCACCACGGGGTGGAGGAAAAGGCTGAGAGCAGGCTGCAAACCCTGCCGGTGCCAGCTGTGCCCTGGGGACACTCSTGTCCCACACGCAGCTGGGAGCAGGACCCAGCACTCCTGCTCCTCTGCCTGTGCCACCGAAGAGGGCCTCCAGTTCCYACCAGTTCTACTGGCACAGCAAGAACCCAGTGCCACAGCTGTGGGGGAGCAATGTGGTTTTACCATGAACTTGTTTTCACCTCCTCTTTCAGGAGCTCCGAGTCACCAGGGTCATGACAGGCACCAGTCACRGCCCTGCTGACGTGGGATGCAGCAGGGCTGCTGTGGGGGCTGCTGGCCAGCAGTGACACTGCGGACAAAGCTGGGCTGAGGTGGGGCTGTCACATGCACTGGCTGTGGGATGATTGCACAATGTCCCTGTGCTACCCTTGACACCAACTMGCCATGCTGGCATCTATATGATAACTTCGCAATTTAAAATTGTGTGTCTTTTCCTCCTGGAGTCCTTCATCCCCACTGTCACGTCCTTGGGAGGATCATGGAATCAGGGAATGGTTTGGGTTGGGAGGGATCTGAAAGCCCATCTCATTCCACCCTGCCATGGCAGGGACACCTCCCACTGTCCCAGGCTGCTCCCAGCCCCAATGTCCAGCCTGGCCTTGGGCACTGCCAGGGATCCAGGGGCAGCCACAGCTGCTCTGGGCACCCTGTGCCAGGGCCTCCCCACCCTCCCAGGGAACAATTCCTTCCCAATATCCCATCCATCCCTGCCCTCTGGCACTGGCAAGCCATTCCCTGTGTCCTGTCCCTCCAGCCCTTGGCCCCAGTCCCTCTCCAGCTCTCCTGGAGCCCCTTCAGGCCCCAAAAGGGGCTCTGAGCTCTCTCTGGATCCTTCTCCTGTCCAGATGAGCACCCCCAGCTCTCCCAGCCTGGCCCCAGAGCAGAGGGGCTCCAGCCCTGCAGCATCCCCGTGCTCTCCTCTGTTCTGGCTCCAGCAGCTCCACGTTCTGCTGCTGTTGTTGCCCAGGGCTGGGGCAGCTCTGCAGGTGGGGTCTCAGGATAGGGCTGAGGGCAGAATCCCCTRCTGCCCACACTATGGGATGAGCTCCTTGGAGCAGAGATGACTTTGCTCTATTCCTCCTTTGGAGGGTGAGTCACAATCACTCCTCTGCATCACTGGTGGCAAACGCATCTCTGTGGCAGTGCAGATCCAAGGACTGCCTGATTATGCCAGTCCCTATCCACAGCAACAAAACAATTGCAGCTGCTACAAGTTTAGTATCAGAAAGCAGCAGTTTTGTCTCTACCAGAAGGCACCGTTAGGCAGCACTGCCATCCCCTCACTCTGCAGCTCASCCGTGGCACACGGATTGTCTTGGTGAAGGTGGGGATGGGAAGGCAGTCCCTCTGTGCCTGTTCCCCAGAGGCTGACATGACTGGATGCAGCTCAGGTCACTTCCAGGCTGGTGAGGACYTCATGAACACAGAGCTTCTGAACAGGGTCTTCTCCATCCCCCTGCCGTGGTACATCCTGCTCCGAGGAGGGATGTGCTGGCTGAGCCAGGAAGGCTGTGACAACTGTCCTTCATTTTTTGCTGCCCCAGGACAGAAATTTTTGGTGAAAAGCAGCAACTGTTTGGTCAGTCCTGCCCCAGTGTGCAGATAGTGGGTGGTGCTGGGAAGGGACAGATCCTCCACTCGAGTACCAAAGGGAAGAGCTTCTCCTCTGCCCAGCTGGCCCTGGGGCTTGGGCTGCTGGACACACAGCCCCACACGGACACCCGCCCTTGGCAGATCCTGGACAGCAGCCAGGGCCTCACCCAGGCCCCAGCAGGGACAGCAGTGAGTCACCTCCCTCCTGCTGACACTCACATGCCTTGTCCCAAAGCAGCTATTTGCTCCTGGAGGAGTTTGATCCATGAAGTTGCCGTCACTGGAATAAATGTTCCAGAGTGTGCAGGCAGAAAGCTTCAGAGGACATATTTGTCCCCTTCTTTGCCTTGGAGCTGTTCTGTTCTTTTATGAATTGGTTAACCTGAGTAATCACAATGGGGTTAAGAAGCACAGAAACATGGGGGACGTTGGCAGAGCTGTCCCCACCCAGAACTGGACAGCTCAGGCTTATTCCCAGTGCCCAGAGTTACCCCAGCTGAGGAGGTGCCAGAGCTGGTGACAGGAGGGGACATGGCCTGTGGAGGCTGCTCCTGGGTGTGATGGAGCCAACACGCAGCGCTCCCTCTCTGGGGCACAAACATCCGGCTGTGCCGGGTATACCTCGGACAAAGGGCAGCTACCACTCCCCTGCTGCAAAACGGGGGCATTGCCCCGCTGCCCACCATGCTCAGCACCACACCCATCCCTCCTCGCTGCCAGAGTGGACAGCAGGACCCTTCAGCTGCCCTCGACACCCCCAGACCTCACCCTTACCTCTCAGCAGTGGCCATGCGGCAGCAATGGCTGGGGGAAGCTCACAGCTGAGCCTGGCCTGGCATTCCTGAACTCCTGGAGAGTCTCTTTCCTACACAGAGCCAAGCTCTGTGTTCAAGGGTAGCTCCAGACWGAGCCGGGGCCCAATTTCCTGATTTCTTTGCTGGTGGAGCGGTGATGCAGTGTCCGGGCGGTCCCTGTGACAGCACCGCCTGCGCCCTCAAAGTACATCAGAAGTGAGTCACTCTCTGACAACACTCAGAACAACTTCTGCCCTTTGAGGGCACAGCTACACGCCCTCGCTGTGACGAGGTGACAGGAGCTCACCGGGTCCTGTCCCCTGTGGCCGTGGAGTGGGTGCCTGTGGTGGCAGCAGCTCTCCAGAGAAGCTGAATCACAGGAGAGGAAGAGCTGGAACAAGGGATCCCCAGGGGTAATCCTGTCTCAGAATCAACACTGTGAGCCCCAGGAGCACGGCCAYGCCTCACTGTTCACTGGGGGTGACAAGCCAGAGGCAGTGTGGGCTGGGACAGGCAATGGCACAGAGACCTTTGACAGAGCACCACTGCCAAAGAGCAGCAGCTTATCTGTATCCTGCAGCATCCACTGCAGTCAGAGGGAGGGGATAACCGCCTCCACAGTTCATCATCCCAGCCAGAAACCACACACCAGTTCTGCATTCGTGTTCAACATTTCTGACATGYTGAGCAAAATGGTGAAAAGGAAGAAAATGCACTTGTAGGCAAACACCAGACTTCATCCAGGCATCTTTGGGGGTGGGCTTTGAGTATACTTTTTTAAAAATTGTAATTAAATGGTRTTTCAGCCTTCAGAAAACACTGGTAATTCAAGGGCAAAGGCAGTGTAGAAAACTAATCCAMACTAGCCAGTACTTTCAGGTCCTGGTTATGTTTTTCCATTCACAAACAACTTCCCCAAGCCACTTAAGCCAGACTGTTCACAGGATTCTCAGGGCAGTTTCCCCAGGAGCACTCCTTGCATTATGCCCTGTATTTGTAGGGATGGATCCTTAGAAACCTGGTCTGTTCAGGCTGGAGAATAAACACACGAGTTCATCCTTACAGCCCTGTTCTGCACTCCCAGGATCTGCACAAGGCTCTCTGAGACAAACAGAAATGTTTTGTATGTTTGGGGTTTGCCACATCCGGCCGTTGTTACAGACATGACCATGGCACAACGCACAGGGAACAACCCCTCAGATGTAATAAATGGGCTTTCCCTGTCCTGCTGCACAGCCAGCAGAGATTCCCACTYGCTTCTACCAGAGCTGGTGTCCCCTTTACACCCTGGTTCCCAGCCAGAGCCCAAGCCTTTAACACATGGAACTTCAGCACTGCTTCTCCCTCCTCCAGTGTGGCAAAGACAATGYCTGGTTTGGGTACAGCTGAAGCACCACATGCCCAGGTCCCTCCAAAAGCTGCAGAGCCAAAACATCGGGCCTGGGCAGCCCTTCCCGAGTCACTGGGTAAATTGGCAAGAGCRGGGAATGTTTGTCTCACATTCTAGGCTTTGCCTACTTTCCAGTCTTCCTCCYGGCATCCTGCACTGGGGCCAGAGAGTGCAGCTCAACATCCTACAGAGCAAATGACTGAGAGGTGCCATGCCTGGCAAAATGAAAGTCATCCAAATGAGCAGAGTTTGGAGGAGGAGAGATGGGCAACAATGTTCATCAGAACAGCAGCAYATTTTGTACAGAAAAACCAGCTCCTGTCATCTCAGCAAGATCTGGGCATTAGCAATCCCAAACCCACAGGCTCTCTTTTGCAACCCAACTCACTTCAGTCCACTTGAATGACACTGTGGGATTCACCAAAATGTRCCTTCCCAGCCTGGGGAGTCTGCCCTGCTTTCAAACCTTCAAAAAGGGAACCAGAAAACAGCAGTAAGTTGTTAAGAGAAGACGTGTCTTTGACATCTAGWCTCCAGCATTTAAAGGGAACATCAGTGAGTTAAAACTTGCCTTATCACTACAAAGGTTTATATTTCCAACCAGAAATACAGAATCACAGAATCCCAGAATGGCTGGAGTTGGAAAGGATATTGAGTACCATCCCTTTCTGAACTCCTGCCATGGCAGGGACACCTCCCACTGTCCCAGGCTGCTCCCAGCCCCAATGTCCAGCCTGGCCTTGGGCACTGCCAGGGATCCAGGGGCAGCCACAGCTGCTCTGGGCACCCTGTGCCAGGGCCTCCCCACCCTCCCAGGGAACAATTCCTTCCCAATATCCCATCCATCCCTGCCCTCTGGCACTGGGAGCCATTCCCTGTGTCCTGTCCCTCCATCCCTTGTCCCCAGTCCCTCTCCAGCTCTCCTGGAGCCCCTTCAGGCCCCAAAAGGGGCTCTGAGCTCTCCCTGGATCCTTCTCCTGTCCAGGTGAGCACCCCCAGCTCTCTCAGCCTTCAACAAACACATGAAACTGAAGCCTATGGCAATTCTCTCACTGTCTGTCAGCGTCACATCCAACACCAAAGTGTCCAGCTCTGATTCTCTATTGCACTCTTTTTCCAGGTACCACTATGACAGCACCAAAGCTATGTTGCAGCTTGGTCAACTTTGTTCAAAAACACCRAGAAGCATCTCACACTGTACACTGCTGCTTCCAAACAGCAGTCCTGGAGCCCAGGATCCCTGCTCCACACAACAAAACCTGGCAGCTTCAGGTGCTTCAGACCAATAACTGTCCCAGTCTGAGGGCAGAAATCCAAAGTCATAAAATGTTTAAAGGATACACATGATATCAGAGTGTGTGTGGGATTTCTTTCTTTTTTTTTTTTTTTTTTTTTTTTTTATCTCTCTACATGTTTTGCTGTGGGAAGAGCTTCTAGAGCAAGGAGTGGGAGGGAAGGAAACATAACAGAAGGAAAGGAACTGTTGCTACAGGCAACTCAACTCTTACACAACGGTGCAATTTCTTTAGTGATTACGGAATCACAGAATCATTAAGGTGGGAAAATACCCCCAGGATGATCAAGTCCAACCATCAGCCCAGGTTCACCAGGTTCTCCAGTTCTCCAGGTTCACCACTGACCCATGTCCCCAAATGGCACAGCCACACATTGTTTGAACACTTCCAGGGATGGTGACTCCACCACTGCCCTGGGCAGCCTGTGCCAGGGTTTGACAACCCTTTCCATGAAGAAGTTTTCCCCAAAAYCCAACCCAAACCTCCCCTGCTGGAGCTYGAGGCTGCTTCCTCTCATCCTGTCATTTGTTACCTGGGAGAAGAGASTGACCCCCACCTGGCTCCATCAGGGGTTGTACAATTTTAGAGAATTACAGTACAGCAAAACTACACGCAACTGACTATTTTAAATAAAAATATGAACAGTATCAGACTAACCCACTACTTCTTTATAGAAAAAAATTGGGATCATATGAGCATTATTTCATACATGCAGTATCATTATTATGCAGCATCTCTTATTTTTAATTTTTTCCACCTCCTTCACCCTCTGCTCTTCTACCTGTCTCTCTTCTTTTGACTGTGTGCATTAAATGTATTCTTTCAAGATTTTGAGTCCTCTGATTATGGTTTTTCCTTCAAAGCCAGCATCTTTAAACCATACCAGGAGAAGAAGGAGATAAAATGGCAACGACCTAACTGAAATTAAGGCAGCTATATAGAGGAAATGCACAGATATCTGCAGTTCTTCCCACACACTATGGAAGGTGGAATTTTAAGTTATTCAGAATTTCATCACTGCCACTACACAGAAATTAAGCTTATATTGCAAACCCTCACCTAAAGCTACAGTAGCCAACTTCTTTGGAAATAGAAAATCAAGAATTTGGTGAAGCATTCTTCATCAACCTTCTGTCCTGAGCCACAGAAGTTTCAAGCATGACTGGCTACTGCAATTTAATCTCAAACTGGGTTCTCTTTCGTCATATTCAACTTGAATAACTGTAGGATTTTAATGTCTGCTTATTTGGGATTGATTAAGAAAGTAAATGCTCTCATGGCATAGTCAAGAAAATTGCAAATGTTATTTTAAAAAATTACATGTAAACAACTTTTCCTGCTGTATTAAAACAAGAATGACTTAGCAAACAGGATGGGAGAGGGCTTGAGTCACTGCAGTTTCATGTGCTACTGTAAATTCTGTTTTCCACATAGACAATAAAAAATGGGACAGAGGAGTCAATGGCACATAGAAACAAGGAGGACAAGTAGCATTTCATTTAYAGACAGTAGGACTATCAGTTAGTGGGACACCCCCAGAGAGCACTGTCACTGTGGAGAACCAAATTAACCAGGATGGGATGGATCTCAGGGAAAGGTTCTTGTGTCCCCAGAGGGTGCTGGCACTGCCCAGGCTCCCCAGGGAATGGTCCCGGCCCCGAGGCTCCAGAGCTGCAGGAGCGTTTGGACAGCACTGCCAGGGATGAACAGGGTGGGGTTGTTGGGGCGTCTGGGCAGGGACAGGGGTGAGATTGATGATCCTTGTGGGTCCTTTCCAATTCAGGATTTTCCAGGGTTCTATGCTCCACTCACTTTGATGAAYCCCTTTACTAAAATCTGAGCAAAATCAACACAATTTCTGGTGTTACTAATGATAGAAGTATAATAATAAATAAAATGCAGTCCACATCTCTCAGTRGTTTAAAAGTGCAGAGAAGATCTTCAGCATCCCACTGTCAGGGACATTCAGCAAACTGGTATTAACTGCTCTYCTCTACCTGTGCATCATTACATTACAGATCCACAGAATCCCAGAATGGTTTGGGTTGGGAGGGATGTTAAMGCCCATCCCATTCCACCCCCTGCCACAGGCAGGGACACCCTCCACTGTCCCAGGGTGCTCCAAGCCCCATCCAACCTGGCCTTGGGCACTTTCCAGGGATCCAGGGGCAGCCACAGCTGCTCTGGGCACCCTGTGCCAGGGCCTCCCCACCCTGACAAGGAAGAATTTCCTCTACAGTAAAGAGGTCCTGGCACCTCACAGTCTGTAAAGCATCCAACTTACCTTCCTAACAGAGATCTTGCAGTCCAGATTCATCTGTCAATGAAAGAGATGAGAGAGGAAACCCATCACAAAAATAAATATATTGCRGACAGCTTTTTAACAGCAAACATCAGCAGGAAAAGAATTAAAAACATGTTTAAAAACAATTTAAATAATTCTGGAATCTTGCTTTACCTGAAGTAAGAAAATGTGAGAAGCTGATCMACTGAGCTTTAGATTCTCTGGAATGAGCCCACAGTTACAGCATCTG